ATCCACACCAAATGGATAATGGGTGGATAACGGGATAATGGATACAAGGAAGGATACACAACGTGGATACGTGAGCGGAAGAACATGGATGGAGGTGGATACAGTGGACATAACGGAAAATGGATAAGGATCTGAAGAACAGTGTGGATACGTGGAGGGTGGATACACACCAAAGGAAGTGGTGGGGGGAGGGTGGACACACGAAAAGGATATGGTGGATAATGGAAGGGTGGACACACTAGTGGATAATGGAGTGGTGGTGGACACACCAGTGGAAAGGATCTGAATGAAGGACACAAGTGGATAATGTGGATAATGGATAATGGACATGGAATGGAGGGGAAAGGACATGGATAATGGAGGGTGGAAGAATGGGATAATGGAGAGGGTGGATAATGGTGGAGGAAAATGGAGGGTGGAAGACGAAAAGGAATGGAGGGTGGATACGGTGGATAATAATGGACAAGGATAAGTGGATGGAAGAAAGGATAAGGGAGTGGACATGAATGGAAGGATGGTGGGGTGGATAGTGGTGGAAGGAAGGAATGGTGGATAATGGAAGGAGTGGATAATGGAGAAGGAGGACCCAGCGTGGACACACCCAGTGGACACACGGACACAACAATGGACACACCAGTGGACACACACCCAGCGGATACGGAGACACAACTGAAAAGACACGGTGGACACACACCCGGAAAAGGGATCCAACATGGATACGTGGACACGGAATGGATAATGGGAGGAAGGATGTGGACACAGTGGATAATGGTGGAGGAAAGGAAGAAGAACAGTGGAATGGAGGAAATGGACACGTGGAAGACACACACGGAAATGGATGGAGGACACACACCCGAAAATGGACAAGGACACACACCTGAAAATGGATATGGTGGATCCACACCAGTGGAATGGACAAGAAAATGGATATGGTGGACATGACCAGTGGAATGGACATACGGAAAATGGACAGTGGTGGGGTGGATCCCAACTGAAATGGAAGGACAACAGTGGACAAGGACATGAAGAATGGGACATGTGGAGGGTGGACACAAAAGGAAGGACACACACAACTTAGTGGAAGGACACAACAGAAATGGATGGAAGGAAGAATGAAGATAAGGAGGCATGGACACAACTGGAATGGACAACAATGAAATGGATGGAGGGGGTGGAACAACAAATGGACAAATGGAGGGACACAATGGACAATGGAAAGGACATGGTGGAGGGTGGACAAGGAATGGATACGGGGGACACCAGTGGATAATGCCAGGAAAGGACCCTTGGATAATGGAGGGAATGGATGGAATGGACACGTGGAGGACATGCACAGTGGAAGGATGGAGGTGGAATGGAAAGTGGATGGTGGAGAAAGATAAGGATAGTGGAATGGAATGGAAGGAAGGAATAGTGGATAATGGAGTGGAAGAATGGTGATCCGGAATTAGTGGACAGGGAGGGAAAGATGGAATGGATGGAAGGAGGGGTGGATGGATGTGGACCACACCAAAGGAATGGATGGAGGGTGGACATGGAATGGAAAGAGGCGACACACACCCGGATAACACACCGCGACAACGACACACACGGACACAGCGACACAACGCCGGACACGGACACACGGAACGGATAATGGACCAGCGGACACGGACACCGGAAGCCGGATGGAGGTGGACACACAAAAATGGACACGAACGGACAAGGACCACAGTGGACACCCAGTGGAAGGAAGGAAGAATAGTGGATGGACAAAAGTGGACATGAAGACAGTGGAAGACCAGTGGATATGGATACACACCAGTGGAGGAATGGATAAGTGGGGAGTGGCAACAATGGAAGGTGGAATGGAAGGACGGAGAGGTGAAAGGAAGGACAATGGAGAGGTGGACACACCAGTGGAATGAAGGAGAGTGGACATGAATGAAAAAGGATCCCAGACACAACGTGGACAACGTGGACACACCCAGTGGCCACGGCGGAAAAGAGGCCGACCGGACCGACCCGGACATGGACACACACCGGAGGCGGACACACCAGTGGACAAGGACACGACCCGGACACGGACACACAACATGGACAAGAGGGACATGGATAAGGACAGAGGTGGACACACAAAGGACAAGGACACAACAAAGGACAAGGACACACCATGGACAAGGTGGATGGGGGAGTGGGGTGGACACACACATGGTGGATCCACACCCAGTGGAGGTGACACACAGAAAAATGGATAAGGAGGACAAGAATGGAAAATGGATAAGGAAGACAATGGAATGAAGGACAAGGAACAACAGTGGATAATGGTGGAAGAAGAAGGGGACCAAGACATGGTGGTGGACATGGAGGACACACCTAGTGGAGGGGTGGACAAGGAAAAGGAAGTGGATAAGAATAAAGGATGGAAGGACAAGAAGAAAGAATGGACAGCGGAGGTGGACTGAAGAATGGACAACAGTGGAATGGATAATGGTGGAGGGGTGGATAAATGGATGGTGGAAGAATGGAATGGAAGGAAGGAACAGGTGGAAAGATCCAAGACCAGGGTGGACATGGAAGGAAGGACACCAGTGGAATGGAAGGGTGGATCCACAACCCAGTGGCCGGACACAACAACGGACACGACCAGTGGATAACGGTGGATACACACACCAGTGGACAATGGAGGCACGTGACAGAACGAAAGGACAAGGAGAGGGTGGATACATGGACACGTGGAAAAGAGGGAGGTGGACAACTGGAAGGACAACACTGGACAAGGAGGGTGACACACGGAAAAGGACACAAGGTGGAGGGTGGACACAATGGACACACCGAAAATGGATGGATCCACAATGAAATGGATACACAACTTAGTGGACAAGAGGGTGGAGGGTGGACATGGAATTAGTGGATGGAATGGATAATGGTGGAGGGGTGGAGGAAGAAGAAATGGACAAGAAAGTGGAGGGGTGGACAACACAATGGAAAGTGGAACAACGGAAAATGGATTCAATGGATAATGGTGGACATGGTGGATAATGGAAGGGGAAGGGATAATGGAAGGATATGGAGGGTGGATCCACACCAGTGTTGGATATGGTGGATAATGGTAGGGTGGATAGTGGATAATGGGGAGGGTGGATGGATAATGGTGAGGGTGGATATGACACAGCATGGGGGGGGGGGAAGTGGTGGATGGATAATGGTGGAAGGATGGAATGGGGATAAGGATAATGGAGGGTGGATAGTGTTGGATGGTGGAAATGGATGGACAATGGAGGGCGACGTCATCAATCCAGTGCTCGGATATGGTGGAGAGGGTGACACCAGTCGCTGGATAAGGTGGGGAGCGGGCGACAACACACCAGTGCCGGATCCACACCGCGTGGATACACAACGACACGGAATGCGGATACGAACGCGGATCCAACACGTGGACCCAGCGGATATGGTGATACACACGGATACGGCTGGACACGCGGATCCACACGGATAACACAGTGGACAAGAGGTGACACACCCAGTGGATACGCACACCAGTGGACACGTGGAGAGCACAGTGGACAATGTGGACACACCAGTGGACACGGAGACACACCAGCGGACACACGGATAAGGTGGACACACACGAAAATGGATCCACACAGTGGATAATGGAGGTGGAGGCACACGGATATGAGGATACACACGGAAAAGGAACAAGTGGATGGAAGGAAAAGGATACACACACCAGTGGATAAGGTGGATCCAGCACCAGCGGATACGACACGGGGTGGATACACACAAGGATACACACCAGCACACCAGCGGACAATACACACGGATACGCGGATCCCACGGACACACACCAGTGGACACGCACACACCAGTGGACACGGATACACAAGGACACACGGTGATACACACCAAATACGGGGAGTGGCCACACACAAGGACTACACAGTGGAGGACACACGGACACGTGGACACACCCAGTGGCACGGGTGGAGGCACACACAAGGGTGGACACACACACACGCACACACATGGACACACCAGTGGACACACAGTGGAGGCAGGACACGCACAGGTAGACAAGGAAACGGACCACAACACAGACAAGGCCAAGGACGATAACAGGACCAGACCAACACACCCATCCAGACCAACCCCACCATCAACACCATAATCACCCCAGCCACAGGAAGACAATGAATAGCCACCGAAAATCAAGAAGAAAATCAGCCTTTATAGTGGAAAAATATATCGGGGCAAGTGATTTTACATGTGCCACTGTACCGGAGTACACTAGCAATTTTAAAGTTATTTCCACCCCTGTTCATTATTATTCAACTAAATCATGCCACAATCACCTTTTAAAAAACATTATTCATAGGTCCTCAAAATCAGTAGCAACAGTTCCTTGACAGCTAGTAAGTTATTATACCCCTTCAAGTCTCACTGCCATAGTTTCCTTTGTTAAAAGTGTGGGTGCTTTGACTGATACAGTAATCCACATACACTTCTTCCTGACGACAGGTGAACAGTTTGAGATTTTCATCCCTCATAAGGGCACAACCATTACCAAATACGGCCCCCTTATTTGCATATAAAATATTCAGCTAAACGATCAACAGCAACACAAATAGATTGTTCTGGATTGAATGCGTGGGTGTTCATTTTAATTCCACTGAGATAAGCTCAACTGAAGGTGGGGTATAAGTCAGTTACAGTGGAAACCTGATAAGTAAAATTTCAAGGGACTCGCCAAAATTGTTTACTTATCAGGTATTTTACTTATCAAACTGATCAAAACCTGCAAATGACAACCATATGCATGTATATGTATACAAAGAACAACAGACAACATTTGTAAGTAATATGACATGTTTTATTCCATAAAATTTCATTGAGTTAAGCCAGGGAGCTGGAGACTGACACGTGCCCCTCATATCGGATTATGTGGTGATTGCCTAATTTAGTTATCCGGTCTCTTTTGTTAGGTAATTTACTTCCAGGGACCGTGAGAAGGCGTTTAGTTAAGCAGTATTGTTTACTTATCTGAGTTTAATTAACGGGACTCTAATAGTGATAATTAATGAAGAAATTTGACGGGACCAAAGAAAAGTGTTTACTTATCGGGTCTGTTTAGTTAAGCTGTCTTTACTTAGGGCGGTTTCCACTCTCTCGGTAGGCATATGTCAATGACCATTACAAAAATGTAGAAATATGAAGAGAAGCACTTCAAAGTGTGAGTACAAATATTACATTAATATTAGTCTGTCTCACAGTCCCTGAACCATATTATTTTCCCTACAGCCAAGCCCTCCCTGCAGTGCCCTCATGAAGCAAGTCTAGATTTCTGAAGCTCTGGTCTGGCTTGGGCTCCTTTTCAATTTAAACGGGTTTATATGTTACATTAAAAATCATATATTCAGAGACTAAGTGTTAATCTACATTTATAGGTTCACAACTGTCATCAAATCCTGCATAGCATGCCAAGGGTGGAAATAACCCATTGCCCGACGCCTGAGTCCAGTGTTTATTTCTGTCGGGCAAGCAAATTTGGATATCACACTGTACCGGTGTCAAGTTGATTTTCCAATATTAATTATGTTGTTTATTTAAAAAATCAACAAGAAACAGCCGGTATAGTGGAAAATTATCAGGGCAAGTGATTTTACATGTGCCACTGTACCGGAGTACACTAGCAATTTTAAAGTTATTTCCACCCCTGCATGCCCATGTCATACAGATGGTGAGTGTATTGGTTTCAACATCACTTTAATGATTCAGACGGCATTTCTGAATATCACAGCATGTCAGCATAGGGAAGACATCCCACAACAACACGAGACGTGAGTATATGTGTGGACAGATCATTACCTACATACATACATCTCTTTGTCATCGTGTAGCTAATAAAATGCCGAACAGTCAATGACATGACATTAAACTGATAGACACTGAAATGGATTCTTCTTTTTCCCGATAACGGGTTAGCACATGCACCCAGTCTGCACCAACACAGGTGAGATAACTAAATCAACATGCAGTCAACGTCGTGCACTACATGCACATCATACTACACATAATGCACAATGTGTAAGGTTAGTCATCTGTCACAATAGCTCCTGTGTACAGAAATCTTGGCTTGGTATTTTATAATGAAATAAAATGGCTTAAGCAAGCCGAGTAAGCTAGCTGCTTGACATAGTGCCAGCCTGTGAAGGGTTAAGTTATGAATGAAGGCACCTCTCATTCAGAGTGTTGGCCTGGGAAAAGGAATAGACCCGCTATCTGTGACAAATCAATGCAGCGCCTTGTCCCCAGTTTTATCGTTTTGGGATTACATAACTTCCTCTCTCATTCAGTCTGATGGGGCACATCAATGTGGCCTGGATATCATGCTGTGTACTCATATCATAATCTGTCCCACTACAGACTTCGCTTTACAACAGCCACTACATCATCTCCAACAATCTTTCACTCATAATCTTGGTGCCTTTGAACAAAATCAAAACTATGCGAAATCTTTCAAAGCATAAAACATTGCGAATATATGAAACGAACTGGAAAAGAATCACAGCCTGACAAGAAGTGCATTGGACGCCAAAATACATGTGAAAATGTTTGTTTAGCCTACTTTTACAGACAGTTACACACTAATACAGATGTCACGGCAATGACTGACATCCGTTTTTACTCAATAATTTCTTTTCAATGCAGCATCAGCAGTAGATCAAACTTATTAGGCCACATAAAAATTATTCTTGTTTCGCATAATGTTTCCAAAATAAATATGGGTCAGGTGGGTGGATATTATTTTTACATTATATTTTATTTTATGTCCGAAACCCCTTGGAAATTGACACCTTTACACCAATAGAAAATCAAAACTAAGAAGTGTGAAAAATTCATGCCCATTTTGAGAGTCAATGTTGCATTTTCTCTAGTGTAAAAAATATACAAAATCTTAGGGTCAGGTCGAATTTTTGGGTTGGGCGTTAATGAGAAACAAGAATATTCATACTTGTGGCCTTAAGTAAAACACATTGTGTTACTGAGAATAATACAATCATCATAGTTTAAACATTATCTAATTTTTGTCAAAGATGAAATTGCTGACACAAGAGGAAGCAGACGTTTTCATAACAAAAAGTTGCTCGCCTTCCAGAATGTTTGAAAAGTCATTTCCTGAGAAGCAGTGGTTCGACAATATTGCTAATATATGACGTTTACATCCTCCAGTTCTGTGTGATAACAACCTTGTAATGATGACAATGTGATTCATTACTCACAAAGAAGTGCTTGTGGCATGGGCTGGTCATGTCAAGTGAGCCCTCATTGAGTCATAGATCTTTACAATTGAAACATTAATCATTTTCACCTAAAAACTTATCAGGGGATTTTGCTGTCTTATTGACAGTACCGTCACAACAAACCAACTCTTGTATGATTCATAGACAATATGTCCATTTATATATAAAGCTTAAGACATTTATGATGATGGTTTTATTGGTATAAACTGTTAGCACTGTCTTCTATGCTTAACTGTTGACAGTTAAGTAGCAAAAACTGTTTCCGATCAAGTCTAAACTGTACTCAACAACTGTTGTGCTGGTTAATTATAAACTGTTGTCTGAGAAATGTTTTGCTTTATGTACATAACCCCGTAAAGATCCAAATTAGAATCGCTCTTCTGCAACCCATGTTTGTCGTAAGAGGCGACTACAGGATTGGGTGGTCAGGCTCACTATCTTGATTGACACACTTCATCGCATCACAATTGTAGAGATCGATGCTTATGTTGTTGATTACTTGACTGTCTGGACCAGACTCAATTATTTACAGATTGCCGACATACTAAACAACCAAACAAGCAAACACTGAAGTATATACTGTGCTCCCAGGCATGCATAAACAGTTGTCTAATCTGTCAGCGTATGATGACTGGTTAATGAGTGAGTGAGTATAGTTTTATGCCGCACTCAGCGATAATTCCAGCTATAAGGCAATAGCTTGTAAATAATCATGTCTGGACCAGACAATCCAGGGATCAACAGCATGAGCATCGATCTATGCAATTGGGATACAATGACATGTGTCAACCCAGTCAGCAAGCCTGACCACCTGATCCCATTAGTCGCCTCTTACGACAAGCATGGGTTACTGAAGACCAATTCTAACCCGGATCTTCACGGTAGACTGGTTAACGAATGTAGTTTATTATCACAGTTTTCACAATAGTTGCGGATCAAGTCTAATTGGGCAAATCACTCACTATTTGTTGTAGCTATCTATCCCTGAGCCGTATCATTGTGTCTCTTTATACATGTGAAAATATAGTGTAGAATGAAAGGGCAATTTGTCCTTCAATACTTCATTAATTGAAAACATTTAACAGGTTTGGAAATGGAAATCTTCTGGACTTTTTACAGTGTATGAATACTTGCCTTGAAAAGAATCCCAATGTTTAAAAGTCAGGGGACACTTTCCTGGCAAATGAAAACTACATCAATTATATGTTAAGACTGATCAGGACACTTTTGAATAAGTTCCTCATTCTCCACATTCTATTCACAAAACAGGTTCTCCTGTAACAGGTCCAGCCTCACAACACTTAAGAGAGGCTAGAATTACAAGAGATACCTAACCACCTTTAACAAAATGCTAAATCTGACTGCAAAACATTAATAGAACAAGCTATTATTAACTAGTCACGAGCACTAAACACAAACTGGTTGAAGGCAACACACCCATGTGAGTTGTAACACATGAAGCATGTATAATCCCACACAGAACGGTACAACGTAAGAACCATCATACTGTAACATATTGTAACATGACTAAGTGACCGTTCATAATAAATGGCTAGGTGGGGGAATGACCCCCCTAAAATTTATGTACAAAATAAGTGACCCCACTAGCTATCCAGAACAAAATGGGGTGACCCCCACACACACACACAATTGATGACACCGAAAAAACATCACCCCCACCCCTACCCCAAAAAAGAAAAAAGAAAAAGACATAAATTATGAACGGTCCCTAAGAATTGAAATGCACATCAACTCAAGAGGAAGGCATAAAGTGACATCCCTAATTCAGGCATCTCTTCTTTCAGTTGGACCTAATCTGTCTCACACTTCTGAACGACATTTTTCCCTTTCTGCAATGCTGAAGCCCTAAGTGAACCAAGTCTAGATTCCCACAGGGGCGGTGGGGTAGCGTAGTGGTTAAAGGGTTTGTTCGTCACGCCGAAGGCCCGGGTTCGATTCCCCACATGGGTACAATATGTGAAGCCCATTTCTGGTGTCCCCCGCCGTGATATAGCTGGAATATTGCTAAAAGCGTGATAACTAAACTCACTCACTCACTAGATTCCCACAGGTTCTGAATCTCTAGACTAAGATCTAGTCTATGAAATTAACATATTTTACAGAAAAAGTTCATAAAATATAATCATAAAATATAATGAAAAGGAGCCCAGAGATTTTGTTTTCATTTCCTGGAACTGTGGAAATCTAGACTTGCATGGGTTTTCTTGGATATATTTTTTTCAGGGTCTGCGTACCAGACTATGAATCTCCATTCTCACTGGGGCTCCTTCTCTGTTTTAGAAGGAATTGTTTGTTTCTATCAAAATTACATATATTCAGAGGCTGAGCATCTATGTTGGAACCACCAACCCCACATCTGAACCCAACAGAACATGAGAATGAAAGATGTGCAGAAACTGTAGCCCTGAAAGTGGTGAAGTGAAATTTGCTTCTCACCCCTGACATGGAAGTGCATCTACCAGAACCCCCCTGGGATGAAGACTAAACAAGGGGCTGGGATATACACCACCCAACAAGTGACTGGAGCCCTCTGAAGTGACAATATGTGAATACACTTGACATTTTGGAAATGAAAGGGAAAATATCAGCCGTGCATTAGCAGTGCTGTAACAGCTCTGTACAAAGTTTATGTCAACTTCCATACGTCACTTTACAGTCCATAAGGAACACACCACAGCACTTCCAGGAAGGCATTTGAGTAATTCCATGAGATTGGGTCTTATACTTTGAAACATGTTGCTTGTATAACTCCCCATGTTATAGATACAGAGAGTGCACTGTCTTCTCCAAGAAAGCAATGATCTGTATCTCTACACATGAAAAAATATTCCTCATTTCAAGCTAACACAGCTTCCTAGGCAGTTCTAGGAAACAGCATTAAGGGAATAATACTCCAGACACTATGAATCCATTTTTACAACTTCAGTTACAATCAGGATTTTCACACCTACCTGTAAATAATCAAATATGGACCACATGATCTGGTGACTGATGTTAAGAGCAATCTACCCAGACAAGTCACCATCATGCAAACAATTTGTTACTTTCAAGATAATGTTGCACCACTCTATCACAAATGATTCAAATGTTACTTTGAAAATACATTTTGTTTGTGAATACACAATACCGTTTAGAAAGTGAGGCAGCTGACTTTGTGTGCTGGCGATTAGGCGCCTGACTAGGGTGTGGGTTCGAACCCAACAAAAGTACTAGAATGTGAGAAAATACAATCCCACATGTAACATATGTTACATTTTGGTTAGTTTTGGGAAACACAAAAACATCACTACCAACTCAAATTAAGCAAATAAAACACAATTATGAACATGACAAGTTAATCCTCTCTCCCCTAATAACAGATACCCCTATAACACTTCACTATTACATCTACAATATCCCTTAATATCATTCCATGCATAGAATTTTGTAAAACCATTTTTAAATTTTCTTAAAATTCTTAATTAAAGTACTTAATTACACGTTACTCCAAGATCCATACACAAAACATAAACATGAGCAGTTTTCACTACCGGTGGCCATAGAAGTTGGTCTCCTCTTATCCAATTGATTCCACAGGTTGATTATGGAGCAGTCGACTGATAATACCCTCGTTCATGTATCACCTTACCAACTAAACAGATAATTAACTCCACAGAATTCCACCCAAAATATTCAAACTCGTATGTAAATAGCTTAGAGGTAAAATAAACATTGGGATTCAGTTGGAAGCAATGAACTTGTAACTTGAGCACCAAGTGCGAGTATGCACAGGACAACCTTTAAGTATAAAGTTCCTCCTCAAATATGGACAACGGATAAAGATCTGTTAACAATTCATGTGACTTTCCTCCAAAGGGACATCATCCTGTTAGTTATGCCTTGACACTTCGGAGTCTTCATGGGTTAAAAAAAACACACATTTTGTCCAAATAGTCTGCCCTTTGACTGTTGACGCTTGGTGATATCATGCACGGAAATAAGAAGCCTTAAGTGGGATTTGTAGATAACATTAACTCATTGATAAGTGCAGAAAACAATCTGCTTCTTTTGTCTTCTGATTTTTTTTAGATGATATATATAGCAGGCAACTTTCTGTTAGTGCGTAATAGGTGTTTTGGTAACCTTGTTGCCACTAATCTCTGTTCCTGCAGCACAAGATGCAGTGATAGCATACTAATAATGTTAGCGCAATACGGGCCGTTTTTACATATTTTCTAACCCACTTGAGAGTGATGAATTTGTAAGTGTGTTATTCTAGTAATTGTACGGCAGGTAGGTATGTTGCAGCCTGCAGAGGTAAGCTTGGTGGCGCCATGTACAAACACGACAGAGTGGTAGTACGCATAGATAGCAGTTTTTGGAATACGGACATGCAAAATACCATGCCAGACTGTCAGGAAGCTTGATACTGGGGATGATACAGGAACTCGGAAAACTCCCACTCAAGTCTTCAAAATATTGGCAAGTCTAACTTCAGTGTCAGAAAGACTTCCTGGCACCCATACAACTCAAAAGACGTTAAGAAGCACCTAATTTGTTCATGATAGTATAGATAATTTGTCATTTTAGATGCTTGATGTAATTCTTTGACAGAAAAACACAAATGATTAACTGTAGAAATGTGAGAGTTTTAATTGGTCCTTAACTCAAACTAAATGGTTATTTGGCCAAAAATATCTTCTGTTGTTGGAGACTTAATGCTGATCTATGATAGATATAGAGGAGTGTTCTCTTGGTTTTCGTTAGTACAAATTACTAAATGAAACCACAGTAAAAGACCATTATAAAGAATCTGTGAAGAACTACATGTAACATCATTCTAGTTTGAAATACCAGACATGTATTCAGTGCCAGGGTTTGAGAGAAAAGTTCCCCATGCGAGCATTCAATGAAGGCAGCAGAGAAAGAAGCCTTTTTCACTTGTGAATATGTTTGCACTTAGTTAAACACATCTTGTTTGTTTGTTGTTTAACGACGCACTGAAGAATATTCCATCTATATGGCATCAGTCTATAAATAATCGAGTCTGGACCCAACAATCCAGTGATCAGCATCGTGTGCATTGATCATGAGCTTTGGGAACCGATGACCTCTGTCAACCAAGTCAGTGACCCTGGCCACCCGTTCCCGTTAGTCGCCTCTTACGACAAGCATGGGTTGCTGAATATCAATTCTTACCCGGATCGTCACAGTCGTAAACATTTTTCAGTTAAGAGTGTTTGCATGACCACTAAGATGATTGCACCATCAGTGAAGGATAGAAATGGTTAGTCTGCTCAAGGCAAGTAAAGAACAGAGCATGCATGACCACCACGAATACTGAAATATGAGCACTCGGTATGCTCAAGGCAAGTAAAGAACAGAGCATGCATGACCACCACGAATACTGAAATATGAGCACTCGGTATGCTCAAGGCAAGTCAAAGGATACTGCATCAAGAACCACCAAGAGTGCTACCAAAAGAACTGTTGGTCTGCTCAGAGAGCACCAAGGATGGCGTATCCATGACCACAAACAGAGCTGCAGCAAGAGGGTTGGTCTGCCCAGGGCGAGACCTGTTGACCTTGGTCCATCAGGCTACCTACCACATAAAGGTCACACTTTCAATCAAGCACTTGTCAAAACATTGAGGTATTTTATCATCAGCTACTCAAATACGGCCAGACTAGCCAAGACTAGCAAAATGGCTGTGTCATTCTCTCCTTTTCATCCTGTGTGTGATGGTTGTAATTATTGCTGATCCGCTTTCGGTAAGCAATCCTAATTTTATATCTTTACGATTCTCCTTTTTGAAAATGCTTGTAACCATCACATCATGGTGAGTAAAGTCATGGCAACCAAATATTGTCCTTCTATAATCATGTTAAAGATATGCCACACATAACAGTGATTAACCTTGTCATGGTCCAATGTATGTAACAAATAATTCAATAGCAAATGCACTGTAACCATGTTACTCTGAATGAATGTATTTCACCTTGCAACCCACGTGATAAACACTCAGAGAGAATTAATTATGGTTGTAACATGAGTGACATGTCATTAGCTGAATCATCTTTTGGAGCAAAAAATACAATACGCCCTGATCTTGACGAATAATAAACTTTATCATGCCTTATATAAAAAAAAAGGAGTAATTATTCACTGTGAAAACAATTTTTTTTTAAACATTTCAACAACAATGCCACACTGTTTAAGCCACAAAGTTGTTGTTTTTAGACAGCATTCGGCAATATTTCAGTCATATTATGACACCAAGTTAACATATTGTAAACTCATGTCATGGAAACAAGCCTAATCTTCCGTACATTTGTAACATGAGTGACATGTCATTTGATGAATATTCTTTTTGAGCAATAAAATACCACACGCCCTGATTTTGACAAATGATAAAAATTATCATACCTTTTAGAAGAAATACAGTAATTATTCAATGTGACGGGAAAATATTGTGAAACATTTCATTCACAATGCCACATTGTTTACACCGCGGAGTTGGTTTTTACACAGCTTCAGCCATTTCTGGTGTCCCCTGCCTTAATATTGCTGGAATATTGCTAAAAGCAGTGTAAAACTAAAAACTCACTTAAGCATTCAGCAATATTTCAGCCAGGAAACAAACCCAAGCCCACAGCATGATGAGACAACACCTTAACCACAAGGCCTCTCATGGTTCCCCAAGTACACAAATACTACCACTACACATCTAGACCCCCATAAAGCAATAACCTCCAATACCCAAGGACAGTTTCTCCAAACAAACGTTCCTCTCTCAAGATGAAAGAGCATGTCTTATCTCGCCAACAAAAGCCATATCAAACACAAGCATTAGCCGAACAAAAAAAATCACTTTATGCAATGAATCCTACTTACAACGATGTTTTTTTCCGAGTTTTTTCTTTGTTGGAAAATAGAAAGAGATATTGCCGAGGTTTACATGAGTCAAGGTCGATCCCAACCCTGACCTTTCCTCCATGGCAACTACTTGCAGTGCATTACTCCCATCAAGAAAAACAATTATTGGTGGTTCGGCTGTTTCCAATTCTGAGTGAAGGGTTTTAGCTTACTGGTGTTAGGAAAAAACATTAGAAAGAGGGGTATTATGTACAAGTGTTTGCCTCCCCTGGAGTTACTTCCGCCATGGAGGAAGCCAGCGGGCGAGATGAGGTAGACGTCCCATTCATGATTACATCAACCCACTATATGTACGGGAAACTCATGGAATATACATAAAATGTATTGTTGTAGCTGCTTTTGCCATGGAATGTAAATACATGCAGATCATCTGATTTCAATCATAAGCTTGAGGACTTCCCTTTAGGACAGGATATGTTATTTTTTAAATTCTGAATTTAGCTGGACTAATATTTATCAAATAAAATCAGCTTTGAAAACATATTACGTATCCAGAGACTATCCATTTGAAATAATCATGTGAAGAGTGTTTGTTTTGTAACGCTGCGCTGTTTTATGCTTAATGACAGCAGCTTGCAAACTGATCAAGTCTGGACCAGAAAAACCAGTATCTGATACCATGATAAACACTTGATTGAGAGAGTGAGTGAAGCTCCAAGTTAGAATTGATCTTCAGTAACTCATGCTTGTTGTAAGAGGTGACTGATGGGATTGGGTGGTCAGACTTGCTGACTTGGCTGACACATGTCATTGTATACCCACTGCGTAGATCGATGCTCATGCTGTTGATCACTGGACTGTCTGGTCCAGACTCGATAATTTACAGTCCTTCGCCATATAGCTGGAATATTGCTAATTAACTCACTCACTCAACCCCCAAAAGTACAAGAATCTGTAAAAATACAGAGTAAAAGCCTCCAAATAGGAATCCTTTGATTCACATATTATGCTATACTTTGAGTTCTAAACAGTGAATCTACCAAATGATATTCATATTATCGAAAGGTAGTTATGTACAGCATGCCTAGGAATTTCAGTATGATGTTACACATCCAGTCTAAGAATAGAAACATTATACTACAGTGTCAGAGAGTAAGACCATGATCAGTGTTTTACAGAATGAGAGAACAAGTAGCACTTGTACAATGATACACACTGCAGCACATACTATACAACAGTATCACAGAGACCATGATATCAATGTGTAACAAGATGAGCATACAAGATAGATTTGTACAATGTTACACACTGCCCAAAGTATGTGTGTTATGAGAGCCCACAGAACCCAGTGGTACAAGGATAGCTGTATTCTCTGCATCTGTCAGGATGGTGTAGGATGTCAATAGGAAACCCACTGATGACTCTAGACAAGCATGAAGTGCTCTCATTATGTACTGGAGGAGGTGGGACGGTGCTGTATTTCCTCCAATCATCAATTCCACATGAACAGCAAGGGAGGGGAATCGTTCATTATACCACATATCCCAGTATTGAATATAATGTCCCACTGTTGTGAACCTCAGAAACAACACACAGTTGTTAAGCTTACGCCAGCAAACACAGAACAACGTCAGCATGACACTGCAGCGGACAGAGACCAAGCTGTGGAAGCTGTTTCTCAGCGCTGCTCACAATGAATGATTCTGATACTGACTTGTGAACCCCACCTTATTTTGATACCTTTATGTAGGAACATGTAGCTTTTGAAACTGTGAACATAGAGTCTCACAAAGGCAAAGACCAATTCAAGCTAAGAATAGTAGGTTAGCTTAGTGCTAAAAGCATTTGCTCATCAATTGAGTGAGTTCAGTTTTATGCCACACTCGGCAATATTACAGTGAGTGAGTGAGTTTAGTTTTACACCGCAATATTCCAGCTATATGGCGGCGGTCTGTAAGGAATTGGGCCTGGACCAGACAATCCAGTGATCAACAGCATGAGCATCGATCTGTGCAGTTGAGAACCGATGACATGTGTCAACCAAGTCAGCGACCCTGACCACCCGATCCCCTTAGTCGCCTCTTATGACAAGCATGGGTTACTGAAGATCAATAGTCTAACCCGGACCTTCACGGGTTAGCTTAGTGCTAAAAGCATTTGCTCATCAATTGAGTGAGCGTGTTCAGTTTTATGCCACACTCAGCAATATTACAGATAAATGGAGGCGGTCTGTAAATAATCGAATCTGAAGCAACAGTGATCAATTCTCACCTGGATCTTCATGGGTACATTCGCTCATCAAACCAGTGAGGTTGATTCCCATATTAACTATAATTTGACTAGCACATTCTTTGTGTCAATCTCCTTGATATTAATATTCTTAGAATAATGGTTAACAAATGTTGATACTCCTTTGGTTGTTCATTCATCTAAATCTTTGACTGACTCAGCAAGTCAGGGATTCAAATGCATTTTGTTCAGTGATTTGTTGAGCTAACAACCACTTCTTTGAGAGCCAGGGTGCCGTTGTACAAAACGATCTTAGCGCTAAGGTGACCGTAACTCCCATACCTTAACATAGACTTAAGGTAGCCTTAGCTCTAAGGTTGTTTTGTACAACGGCACCAGGTTATAAAAGGTCCTCAGCATATAACTGCCTTTGTGATGTGTCCAAACCTCAGTGTCTTCATCAATTGTGTATAATCAGAGTGAGTGAGTGAGTTTAGTTTTACGCCACTTTAGCAATATTCCAGCAATATCATGGCAGGGGACACCAGAAATGGGTTTCACACATTGTACCCATATGGGAAATCGAACTTGGGTCTTCGGCGCGACGAGTGAACGCTTTAACCACTAGAGCTCGATAATACTGGTCATTGACCATAATATCAACAAATCATTTAACAGGTCCAACATCAGACTGACGTGGGAGGAAACCCATAGTGATCCATGTGTTTCACACTTACAGCTTTGGTGAACTTGGTGCTGCCAAAACAAATATATAATCAGGAGGAATTTGGAACTCAATTTCACTTTCATTACAATCTTGCAGGCTAAAACGACGAAATTCTGCATTGCCAAATGCTGCACCTTAGGTAGACTAGCACAAGAAAATAATTAATAGTTTAAATGATATTTTATTAAAGAAAATAAATAACAGATTGGCGGCCTTAGGGTTCCCCTTATCTATCTAAAGGAGATATTTACTACACATCCATTAGCATTCAGTACAGCCTTGGAGCAAGGCTACACCTTCGGTTACTGGGAGACTTACGTGTCTCCCAGAACCATGAGAATAAATTAAATTGGAGTTAAATACTCAAATCTAGATGGATTTGGAAGTCTAGATTGCCTCAATGCCAAGCCAGATATTAAGGATTGTTCTGTACTCCATTTGGATTTGTATTGTAGATAAATATTTTTCAATATTTTTAAATATATTTTTTTCTGGGAATAAAAGTCAGCCTACTGGGCCACACATGGTCCTGATTTGAACAGTGAAGATGACTAACTTATCATGGCTGTTCATTCATATAAAGGGAAAAGAATCCTGCCACTTGCCAAATCATTCACGATAACGTTCCATGTGAAAACTAACATCGTTACAAAAAGAAACTCATTTTCAAGATAGTTTCTTTCTAAGTCTGGCTTACAGTCACCTTTAGATATAATAGAGGCAGGTGTTGCAAATAATTAGCTTTGAATAATCATTTCTTTTTCCCCGATCAGACACGCCAGATAAAATTCAGGCTGTTATGACTGAAGATTCAGTTTGAGTGACAGAACTTTGCTGGGATGTACAGATACTAGCCTGAAAATATGAGGCGCAAGTATATATCTCAGAAATACACAATCACAAGTTCTCTCTCTTTAAGATGTCCATGAGTCTGTACCTAGTACATAGATTTATTAATCTAGATGTTAAAATTATCCAACTTTCCAGTTGAAAAACTTAAAGAAAAAAAGGGATTTTTGCTGATCCTATTCTACTGCTAGTACTAGACACACTCATGAACTACAGGAGCAAATCCCCACTTTAATATGGGAGGTGAGGTGAAATTGGGTTTAACGTTGTGCTTGAGAATATTTTGCTCATATGACAACGTGCATGCGTGTGTATGTGTATGTGCGGCTGCTTGTACTAGCCCAGACTGAAGCTGGTTTTATAGTGCTAGACCATTGAGATACCATGCTGCAGTGAAGCATGAATACCCCACTCAGACACATTATACTGACTCCGAGCCGAACAGTCCTTGTTGTACCCATTAATGCCGAGCACCAGACAGGGACCAACAAGTACCATATTTTAACGTCTTTTGGTATGACGCGGTCGGGGGATCGAACCCGCGACCTTCCGCTCTCCGGGCGGACGCTTTAACCACTACACCACGGAGGCGGTCGCTTAATACACAGAAACCACTTACCCTTTTAAAGTTTTGCATAAAGTGAAGTCAGTGTCAAAAAACATAACATTTAACTCTGAATGGATACAATCTTCATTGCTTCTTTGAGTGGCATTTTATAAGTTGGAAGTCAGGTAGAACAAGTATATATGGATGACAACTTCTTTAATTCTAGAGCACTCCTACTTGATAACAATACAAGAACCTGTATCAAAATATCATGCTTTCATATCTAAAATATTCATTAATAAGATAACATCAACTTATCTGGTTGGCTAACTTTAAAACAAATGAATAACAATACACAAAATTCCACATTTGTGAGTGAGTGAGTGAGTGAGTGAGTGAGTGAGCGAGTTAGTTAGTTTAGTTTTAAGCCGCTTTTAGCAATATTCCATCAATATCACGGGGGGACACCAGAAATGGGCTTCACACGTCGGGAATCGAAACCGGGTCTTTGGCATGACGGCAAACGCTTTAACCACTAGGCTACCGCCCCTCCACATTTGTAGTAGGCAGTAATACTTTGCTTTGATGTCAAATGAAGCAGTGATGTCATAGTTAATGAAATGTGACAGTAGTGTCATTTCGTTTTGCCGTTATCAATAACCAGCCTGTCATAACATTGGCCTTATTCGCTTTTCATTTCACACATGATGGTGTCTCTTGTAACATCCAACATCAGTTCAACTTACTGATAGGATAGATTGACTTGATTGTCTTCCAATTGACTTCCAATTCAATCTTAACAGTTTGCTGTATCACAAGATCAAGCACAACCAAGTATCACATTTTGACTGGACATATATGTGAAT